CCCCCACCCACCCAGGGCAGTGCCACTGACTGTAGTGTCTTTAGGCCATTCACAAAGGGGGGATATTTCTCGTTCATGCACAGTAGAATTGTAAATGGGCTGATTCACCATGTCACGCTCATAACTGTGCCTAATCTACAACAGGGAACTGCTGCTTAACCAGCGTCACGAAGACACGCACTAAATGATTTATTCTTCTTTTTTCTGTTCAATCTCTGGGGACAATGCTACGCATGAGAAGAAGACCGGCCTAGGCACAGCCTTACCTGATACAATGAACAGTGCAGTGGCAGCTGTCAGAAATGGAGCGCCTTTGAGGGAAGTCACATACCTTCACGGCATTGCTCGCGCTACCCTCCAAAACAATGTGAAGAAAGCTCTTCAAGGTTATGTTGAATTATGTCCAAATTATTGTCACAGTAAAGTATTCACAGTAGAACATTAGGTTGAATTGGCGTGGTACATGTTGAAATGTGCCAAAATATTCTATGGTTTGACAACTGTTAACTGCAGAAAACTCGTCTATGAAGTTGCTGTTGCAAATCACTGAAAACCTTTCGTACCCATCTTCGTGGGATGATGCAAAATGCGCCGGAAAGGAGGGGAGATGGGTTTTCTTTGGAGACATCCGCAACTCAGTTTGTGACAACCTGTGGCTACCTCATTTGCAAGAGCCACAGGTGTCAACAGACTTTCTGTGGGGACATTTTTCAACTTGCTGCACGCTCTTTCTAGATAGTGACATGGGTGTCTCAGGAGCTCAGATACTGAATCTTGACGAAGCAGGAATCATAACAGTTATCCAAGCCCAAAAGTCATCGGACCTTGTGGTACTAAGCAGTTGGGCCAGATAACATCAGCTGAGCGTGGCATGGTGTGTGAGTTCTCAACAAAAGCCACCCAGTTTTTACTATGTTGGGGTTGCTGTCCAGGGGAAATTAAAAAGCCGACAGACTGGCTGGTGAGGCCACCTTAGTTGACAATACGGTTCTACCAGATAGGGTCCAGATCCTGAAATTAATGTCTCTCTCGCCAGTTGATTGAGGAGGAAGATAGGGAGGCAGAGGCCAGTACTGCCGTGGAGAGGATGATGCTTTTGGGAATACAAAAAGGAAGCGGAAAATCTGGCATCCTTGCAGGAAAAAACAGAAGAACGTTCAACCAGATGTGCACTGGCATAATCAGTGGAAGGACCCTCTGCAACATTTTGGAGAGAGCAACGGAGCATCAATCAATGGACATGTTCGAAGTGTAGGGATGTTGCTTCCTGAAACAATGAACAAAGAACAATGCTGTCAAGGAAAGAGACGAAGGTGATGTTGGAGTTGATATTTTCAGAAGAAAGGGCCGAAAGAGCCCACACTTTGTAAAACCAGCAGTGGAACATATTTCCTCAGTCCATATAGACTCAATCAGAGCCATGTTACCCCCCACCCACATTCTGAATTTTGAGGCACTATTGCAAGAACCATAGAGGTGACATCTGTTTCTATGTTCTTTCTTCTTCTCGATCGCATCACACTTGAAGTCTGGTATCTGTCATAACTTGGGCCGTCCTGCTCAGTTCATCTGTCGGCCTGTACAGCTTCTTTTGAAGCGTCAGTGGGGTTAGCCACGTTTCCTGTGTTTCTATGCTGACTTTGGACACTTTGGTGGTCTTAATTTGCGTTAAATTTCATATTTTTGCCGTTGTGAGGAATGTATTGTTTTTGTTTTGTTTAGGTTCCGATAGCCCTGGTAACAGATGTCACCTGTGGCCCAGTTCTCCCCACATGGGGACCCAGTTCTCCCCAAAGGGAGGGTCCAGTTCTCCCTACAGGGGGCACCAGTTTTCCCAATAGGGAGGGTCCAGTTCTCCCCACGGGGGGGGGGGGGGGGGGGGGGT